CGACCCGGACTCTGGGACCTGCCGCGTGGGGGCGCTCGCGGGCAGATGCGGCCGAAGACAGGTCAGGGACGCGCAGGCCCTTCGAACCGCTCCGCGGAAGAAAAAATCCAGCGGCGGACTCCCGCGGCTTCCTGAACCCAAAGCCGAGAGTCTGGCCTCTCACCCGGATGCACGGCCCACCGCGCGCGCGCTCCACAACCCCTTCCCAGGAGAAGGGGCCCGGCGTCCCCTGCGGGCCCGGGAGGGAGCGCGGCGCGGGTGGGAAGGGACGCCAGGACCGAGCCGTGACCGCGGGCCCGGCGTCGTAGGAAGGCGGGCAGCGCCCCTGGCCTGGGTACCCGCCTCAAGTCCCGCTCGGCCCCGGCGCCGCCTCGGGCCAATTCGCCGGTTGGGCGGACTCCACAGGGCCCCCAAGCCCCAGTTCTCGCTCTTTTCGTTTGAACAAGATGCCCCGTGAGCCAGCGGCCTCCAAACCGTTTTCTCGTGAGGGCCGTCCAGGACGCCGCGCGGGTCGCAAGCAAAAGGCCCGAAGGGCAGAGGGGCCGCGGTGGCCCCAGGGGGACCCTGCTGCTCCGGCCCTTGGGGGCCTGTGTCCGTGCCAGCCACGTGCGGCGCAGGCGACGCCTCGTTTCGCGCCGTTTCAGGAGGGCGGCCACCCGGAGCCCAGTGCCCTGCAACCTCGCCCGGGCTCGGGACGCCCCGGGGACCGTTTTCTGAAACGCAGAATTCACGTGAGCGGAATCCCCGCGCCTTGACCTGCCCCAGACGCTGGGCGACGGATCACCGCGGGGCGCGGGGTGCTGCGCATACCTTTCTGCGTCCGCCCGGCGGCAGCTGGACCTGCGAGGGCGCGGGGCCGTGGGGAGGCGCACAGCCGCCCTGCGCCGCTCGCCCGCTTTCAACGAAACGCGCCGCCCAGGCCCAAGCGGGAGGCCGGGTCGGGGCGAGTGTGCGGCGGCAACAGAGCGCTCTGCCACCCGGACGACGGACGCCCCCTACCTCCCCACCCCCGGCCGGACTCCCCAGAGCTCTGAGGCCGCGGTGCGGAGCTGCGGGAGGCCCGGAGGCGGGCCGCGCTAGGGCCGGAGTCTGCCCACGGGATTTCTGCAGCCTTTATAGGCTGGAAAAATAAAGAAAAAAAACCTTCTGCTCCTCCGGTTTGGCACCGAGCCCGCTCTCCCTTCTCTGCTGGCGTTGGAAATAGGCGGCAAGCAGCTCCTCCTCAGATCACCCCTTCTTTCCGAAATGGTCCCAACCCGAAGTAGGGGAAGCCTTTGGGAGGCTAGTGCGGCTGCCTTTTCCCTGCCCCCAAAAATCCCTGGGCCGGGCAATGGGTGCTATTTGTGGGGGCCCTTGAGTCTTGCTCTGGGGAACTTCTGGCCCAGCTCTAGACATAAAGGCCCCAGACCATCCCTGAACACGAGTCAGAGGCAAAGGAATTCTGTCAGTTCCAGCTCACTGGAGCACACCCAACCACCCCTGCTGCTGCCTTCCAGAAAGTCTGATCCCAAGGGACTTCCAGTCCACGGTGGAATGAGGTCCATTTCAACGAGGCCCAAATCTCCACAGGTGTACAAAAGTTTTCTCCCGCGCAGCCATGGAGCTTCTCCTATTTGTGCCCAGTGAAAGCAGGCCTCTCAAGTATGTCTTAGAGGAGGAAGAGTATGAGACAACCTCGGCTGGGGTGGGGTAGAACCAAGGCCCCCAGCATCTGCAGGCCTCTCCAGCAACTACTCTGAGCACTGGAACCCAGGACTGAGACTGCCTTAAAGTCAGGCTGGCATCTATCAAATCCCTACCCAGACGCCTCCCAAGTGCTCTGTCCTGTAGCAAAGACTGTCAGGGAGGGGGCTAGGCAGGGAGGGGGCTGTGGAGTGTGGAGAGACCCTAGCTAAGTTCATAACCTTTTTAGGGCAGGCACTCAGGTGCCTGCTGGCATGAGGTTCTAGTCCAGACGTGCTAGAATCAGCTTCCTACAAATATGGGGGAAGGGGAGAACTAGTGGCATACACACACATACATTGGGTTATGGTGTTACAGGTTTTCTGTGCTTGCTCCGTAACGACTTTTCATACGGCACACGCTATGTTATCCAAGGTGGCAGGTCCTACATCTGTTCCGGCAGGGCTGACTCTTGGGCTTAGTGCCCAGGGGCTGCAAAGAGGGCAATGCTGAAAGGGACAGTGAGTCTGAAGTTCCAGAAAATCTGCCTTAGCTGAACATGGGCAGGACCCAGTCCTGGGGGAGGTTCAATCCGGAAGCTCCAAGGGTTCAGGGAGAAGGATATTCACAGTGGGAGCTGTGGCTGAGGTTGCAAAGATTACTCATTTTTTCAAGGTGAGTATTCTTCGACCCACTCCAGCCCAGAACCAGCAGGGATCTGAAAGATCACATAGGCCTCATCTGATAGTGGGAGAGAATTAGGTGGAGCAGACTACAAACTGGCCCAAAGTTTCTCACCAGGAAGTTACTGCCCAGTCCCACCCACCTGAACCAGACTAGGGTACTCCCCTACAGCCTCAGCCTGATCTTGCCAAGATGTAAGATGGCCATGGCCAGAGCTGGGACCAGCTGGCCAGTCGTTAACCATGTGGCTGAAGAACAGGTCTTGGAAAGAGGAGGTTGCTCTGTCTTGGGGTTCAGCGAGGTAGGCTCTGAAACTCAGTGCAGCCAGGGGTAAATACTTCCCCATGTCTCCCAGGGTTCTCTAAGCCCAACTCTGGCGTGAACCAGAGCAGCAGCACACAGGACTCTGGATAAAGTGGCCTGGGTGCCACAGGGGTCCTCCCAGCCAACAGATGCAGACTCTGACGGTGCCACCTGGACTTCTGCAGGGAGCTGTCCCTAGCACTGGTTTGGAACATACTTTGACAGCCCTGTGGTCTCAACACACCCAGAAGCAAAAGTCTTAGGGAGAGTCCCAGGGTTCCACTCTTTCAAGCCTGCAACTCCCCCAGAGGACTTCTAGAACGCTAGAGAAGGGGTGGAAACTTTTGGGAATCTTGCACAGGGAATGGACACTTAAAGGAATAAACAAGAGCCAAGCTCGTATTTGGAATAAATAGGCACCAAGCTAAGCCAAAACTTGAACCCAGAGCTCTGGACTCCCATTCCCGTGCTCCTAGCACAAACTCCCCAGAAAATTTAAAGGGGTGGGAATGAAGAAATGTGGCCTAGACACAGGTTCCATAGTCCTAAGCTGAGGGCAGAGCCCTGACTCTGTGCTGGTTTGGGTCCTGCCACTGGGAGCCCGATGGACTCCAGCCTGCAACAGCTCAGAGCTAAGAGAGGAAACGGAAGTGGAAAGGACCAGTCGAGAAACGAGCTAAGCCCGGGGCTTTTCAAAACCGAAGAAACAGTAGCAACACTCCTGTCTTCCACCCTAGCTCTCCCACCTACTCTGCCTGCCCTTCTTCCAGAGAACCAGCACCACGTGTTTCCACATGCTCCCTGAGAAAGAAGCAAAAAAACAAAATCCCCTTTTTAAGTCCCTCGTTCCGGAGCTCAGAGACCTGGTTCCCATGCTAGAAGTGGCCAGAGCCCAGCCTGAGCTGAGAGGCCGGAGGGTGGGGGGTTTGCCTCCACGCTGTCCTCCCCGACCACCCACGGGGGAAGCGCCACAACCATCCTAGACTCCCTGCCCTTGCCTCCGGTGGGCGCTGCCGACCGGAGTCAACTTCCATAGAGGCCACACGAAAGTCTCGGGCGCTTTTCGGGCTGTGGGACCCGTGGGGTTAAATCTGAGTCCCCGCCCGGCGGCGAGGAGCGGAGAGCGCCGAGCAGGGGCGGTTCCGGCCGCGGGGCAGCCGGCCTGGGTAGGAGAGGGAGGAAAGGCGGGATCCTCCTAGAAGTAGATTCTCAGGCGTCCGCCTGCGGCCCCTGCCAAATCTTCCCGACTTCTCTCCCCTACTCCCTCCCCCTTTCCCTCGTGGACCTCTCTGGTCCTGACTTCCTTGGATGGGGGTGGGGCGCTGTCAGCAGGAAACGCGAAATCTTTGAGGGGCGCCCGAGCACATCCAAACTCTCCCATCCCACCGGCCGACTCCTGGGCAGAATCTACCCCGCAAACAGCGGCCCCGGGAGGGGCGTGATGACCCAGAGTCGGGGCAGAGAACACCCGGCGGGGCCTGGCGAAAAGCCGCCCAAAGTTTCTTCCCCCTCGAGGCTCCCTCCACCCCTCCCAACTCCTTCCTGCTGGCACCCCCTTAAACAGTCCTCCGCCCTCTCTTCTCCCCTTTTCCTTCCCCGCCTCGATCCTCCCCTTTTCTTCTCCGCCCGTCTTCACTCAGCCTCTCCCCTCCCGTGTCCGTCTCTTCCCTTGCTCTTTGGGCGTCCGCCCCGTCAATCACCGCCGCCGCGGGCCCCAGCCCGGCCCTCTCCGCCTCCCAGGTTCTTGGAGCGCCTGCGGCTCCTGTCTCGGGCCGCCCTCCGCTTTGCGCGGAGCCGGGCGATCTGTCAGCGGAGCCGGCTGGAGGGAGCCGCCCGGCCCGCCGGGGTTCGGGTTACCAGTGACTGACAGCGTCTCCATGGCGAATAATTTGACTCCGACTATTGTCTGGCGCGGGCAGGCCCCGGGTCAGATAACCAGACCAATCAGGGCGCGGGCCGCCGCGCCTCATGCCCGCTTAGAATAATATTATTAAAAAAGCAGCGAGCGAGCTAGACGGGAGGGAGAGCGAGCGAGAAGCGAGCGAGGGAGCGGCGGGCGGGCGAGCGCGGAGCATGCGGAGCGGCGCCCCGGGCGGCCCCCGGGCTTGGACT